AAAATGGCCGCAACACACCGACAAACAACAGGCAGCGGTGAGAGGGAAGGGGGGGGCCCCAGATGGTAGGTCCTTTCCATCGCCCAGGATTGCTCTCCCGCCACTAATACCGCCATGCCCTGATAGCCGAGGGTCCCCTCTACCCGCAGCGCCCATCCCCGTCCCTCCCGGACTTACCATGGTGGCGGATGTCTCCGGATTCTCCTTGCACGACGGAGCTGGGAGACGCCTCACTGATGGAGGACTCGGGGAAAAAGGAGGAAGTGGTGGGCTGACGTCACCCCAAAAGCAGGAGCAGGCCGCTCGCTGATTGGAGCGGGGTCACGTGGTGCCGGCCGGTCAGAGGGGAGGGAGGGGAGAACGTGTCAGTCCCGGTAACCACGGCAACGTGATGCAGGCAGAAAAAAAAAAGGCTGCAGTGCGAGAGCAGAAGATCCCTGCAGCAGCCAATGCAGAGTCTGGTGCATGACGTCATGATGTAACACGGGCCTGGATGCAGCAAATGGTGACGTGTGCGGGCGGATAAAGAACAGAAAAAGACTCGGATGAGGCAATTCCTAAACTCTGGCTGCTATCAGCGTCATTTTCTATTACAGGCTGTTAGCTGCTCGTAATGTTATTGGTGGAGCTGTGTCTGCAAAATAAGAATATCAGGTCATCACCCACGTCGAGATCTCTAACCACTGACATCACATCCAGTGACTCGCCAGTAGCAGATGTAGACCAGATGGCATTGGTGCGCCAGCCGTGCCAGTGTTAGAATCCTCATTGTGTTCTCCAACCCACATCAGTGCGCCTCACAATCTCCATCAAGTTCTTCAACCTCCTTTAGTGTCACCCAAAAGTGCACCCACCCGATGGCAAAACATGTAATCTCCTAGCATGTTGTGCTATGGATGGCCGCGCAGACGCACAAACGCTATTTGGAGGACTTGATTCTGCTTTACGGTGACTGCGCATGCACGCTGACGAGGGTTTGAGAACTTGCTGGGAATTGTGAAACCGTGCAGGCGCAGTGACGGGAGTTCGATGACTCGATGAGGATTCACGACTGACGCAAGCGCCGTCTGGTCTAAATTTCCTACTGGCAAGTCACCAAACGTGACGTCACCAGTTGGAGATCTCGACGAGTTGGAGCTTTCGACAAAACAACGGCTTGCTCATAGACCGGTCCTTCCAGCTTCTCTCCTCCTCCTCTGCAGCGGTCTAAGGTCCTGTAAATCATCATGTTCTATACAGTGGGGGGAATTTATCAAAACTGGAGCAGACAGAAACTGGAGCAGTTGCCCATGGCAACCAATCGGCATCCATCTTTAGTTTGTTCATTTAAGACTTCAAAATGAAAGAAGCTGATTGGCTGCCATGCACAGCTGCTCTAGATTTTGTCTGCTCCATTGTTGATAAATCCCCCTCACTGTGTATAGAGGTGAGGGTGCCAAGGATCATTCTAATGCTGCGGAGGAGGAGGAGAGAGGCTGGGGGGAGCTAGGGGTAGCCCTACTACAAGGGGTTAATAAAAAGTTTTCCTGGAGTTCTTCTTTAAAGTGTATCTAAAGCCAGTCACATAAATGTCATATATTTCAGCTGAGAAGTCCTCAGATGTGGCGGCCGCATTCGTTTTCTGTTTTTCAGGCTGGTTTTCCTTTATTTTCATCTGGTGATCCTGCCAGTAACACACTTCCTGTCCTAGGGTGACAACACTCCATCACTGTACTGTATCTATGGAGAAGCAGCTGTCACACCTGGTTTCCCCCCTGTCCGAGGTGTTCGGGTCTGCAGACAATCTTCTCTCTGCCCCTCCAGTTAGCTCACCTGATGCTTAGGTTTGAGCAGTGAGCCTGTTCACTTCCTGCCAGACACCCCGGGATCCTGATTTACTCCCTTCATGCTTCCAGAGCACCTGTGTGTTTCTCTGCGTTTCCTGAGTACCTCCATGCTTCCTGAGAATCCTGCTTCCAGTGATCCCCTGTGCTTCCAGTGATCCCCTGTGCTTCCAGTGAACCCTGTGCTTCCAGTGATCCCTGTGCTTCCAGTGAACCCTGTGCTTCCAGTGAACCCTGTGCTTCCAGTGATCCCCTGTGCTTCCAGTGAACCCTGTGCTTCCAGTGAACCCTGTGCTTCCAGTGAACCCTGTGCTTCCAGTGAACCCTGTGCTTCCAGTGAACCCTGTGCTTCCAGTGAACCCTGTGCTTCCAGTGAACCCTGTGCTTCCAGTGAACCCTGTGCTTCCAGTGAACCCTGTGCTTCCAGTGAACCCTGTGCTTCCAGTGAACCCTGTGCTTCCAGTGAACCCTGTGCTTCCAGTGAACCCTGTGCTTCCAGTGAACCCTGTGCTTCCAGTGAACCCTGTGCTTCCAGTGAACCCTGTGCTTCCAGTGAACCCTGTGCTTCCAGTGAACCCTGTGCTTCCAGTGAACCCTGTGCTTCCAGTGAACCCTGTGCTTCCAGTGAACCCTGTGCTTCCAGTGAACCCTGTGCTTCCAGTGAACCCTGTGCTTCCAGTGAACCCTGTGCTTCCAGTGAACCCTGTGCTTCCAGTGAACCCTGTGCTTCCAGTGAACCCTGTGCTTCCAGTGAACCCTGTGCTTCCAGTGAACCCTGTGCTTCCAGTGAACCCTGTGCTTCCAGTGAACCCTGTGCTTCCAGTGAACCCTGTGCTTCCAGTGAACCCTGTGCTTCCAGTGAACCCTGTGCTTCCAGTGAACCCTGTGCTTCCAGTGAACCCTGTGCTTCCAGTGAACCCTGTGCTTCCAGTGAACCCTGTGCTTCCAGTGAACCCTGTGCTTCCAGTGAACCCTGTGCTTCCAGTGAACCCTGTGCTTCCAGTGAACCCTGTGCTTCCAGTGAACCCTGTGCTTCCAGTGAACCCTGTGCTTCCAGTGAACCCTGTGCTTCCAGTGAACCCTGTGCTTCCAGTGAACCCTGTGCTTCCAGTGAACCCTGTGCTTCCAGTGAACCCTGTGCTTCCAGTGAACCCTGTGCTTCCAGTGAACCCTGTGCTTCCAGTGAACCCTGTGCTTCCAGTGAACCCTGTGCTTCCAGTGAACCCTGTGCTTCCAGTGAACCCTGTGCTTCCAGTGAACCCTGTGCTTCCAGTGAACCCTGTGCTTCCAGTGAACCCTGTGCTTCCAGTGAACCCTGTGCTTCCAGTGAACCCTGTGCTTCCAGTGAACCCTGTGCTTCCAGTGAACCCTGTGCTTCCAGTGAACCCTGTGCTTCCAGTGAACCCTGTGCTTCCAGTGAACCCTGTGCTTCCAGTGAACCCTGTGCTTCCAGTGAACCCTGTGCTTCCAGTGAACCCTGTGCTTCCAGTGAACCCTGTGCTTCCAGTGAACCCTGTGCTTCCAGTGAACCCTGTGCTTCCAGTGAACCCTGTGCTTCCAGTGAACCCTGTGCTTCCAGTGAACCCTGTGCTTCCAGTGAACCCTGTGCTTCCAGTGAACCCTGTGCTTCCAGTGAACCCTGTGCTTCCAGTGAACCCTGTGCTTCCAGTGAACCCTGTGCTTCCAGTGAACCCTGTGCTTCCAGTGAACCCTGTGCTTCCAGTGAACCCTGTGCTTCCAGTGAACCCTGTGCTTCCAGTGAACCCTGTGCTTCCAGTGAACCCTGTGCTTCCAGTGAACCCTGTGCTTCCAGTGAACCCTGTGCTTCCAGTGAACCCTGTGCTTCCAGTGAACCCTGTGCTTCCAGTGAACCCTGTGCTTCCAGTGAACCCTGTGCTTCCAGTGAACCCTGTGCTTCCAGTGAACCCTGTGCTTCCAGTGAACCCTGTGCTTCCAGTGAACCCTGTGCTTCCAGTGAACCCTGTGCTTCCAGTGAACCCTGTGCTTCCAGTGAACCCTGTGCTTCCAGTGAACCCTGTGCTTCCAGTGAACCCTGTGCTTCCAGTGAACCCTGTGCTTCCAGTGAACCCTGTGCTTCCAGTGAACCCTGTGCTTCCAGTGAACCCTGTGCTTCCAGTGAACCCTGTGCTTCCAGTGAACCCTGTGCTTCCAGTGAACCCTGTGCTTCCAGTGAACCCTGTGCTTCCAGTGAACCCTGTGCTTCCAGTGAACCCTGTGCTTCCAGTGAACCCTGTGCTTCCAGTGAACCCTGTGCTTCCAGTGAACCCTGTGCTTCCAGTGAACCCTGTGCTTCCAGTGAACCCTGTGCTTCCAGTGAACCCTGTGCTTCCAGTGAACCCTGTGCTTCCAGTGAACCCTGTGCTTCCAGTGAACCCTGTGCTTCCAGTGAACCCTGTGCTTCCAGTGAACCCTGTGCTTCCAGTGAACCCTGTGCTTCCAGTGAACCCTGTGCTTCCAGTGAACCCTGTGCTTCCAGTGAACCCTGTGCTTCCAGTGAACCCTGTGCTTCCAGTGAACCCTGTGCTTCCAGTGAACCCTGTGCTTCCAGTGAACCCTGTGCTTCCAGTGAACCCTGTGCTTCCAGTGAACCCTGTGCTTCCAGTGAACCCTGTGCTTCCAGTGAACCCTGTGCTTCCAGTGAACCCTGTGCTTCCAGTGAACCCTGTGCTTCCAGTGAACCCTGTGCTTCCAGTGAACCCTGTGCTTCCAGTGAACCCTGTGCTTCCAGTGAACCCTGTGCTTCCAGTGAACCCTGTGCTTCCAGTGAACCCTGTGCTTCCAGTGAACCCTGTGCTTCCAGTGAACCCTGTGCTTCCAGTGAACCCTGTGCTTCCAGTGAACCCTGTGCTTCCAGTGAACCCTGTGCTTCCAGTGAACCCTGTGCTTCCAGTGATCCCCTGTGCTTCCAGTGATCCCCCGTGCTTCCAGTGATCTGGTGCGATCTGCAAAGATGCTGCTTGCACTATTTCTGCAGATGGCACTGGACCGGAACGCAGCGCCTAATGTGCCACGTGTTCGGGTGCCAGCGATTGTACTGGAGAGGGGGTGGGGGGGAGCGTGGCTGCATTAGACTTCAATGCACCGCCACGCACTGAACACAGGGAGCCAGCGGAGGGAGGGGGGTGCACCCTTCCCGCACCATACAAGAGATTGGGCAGCTAATGCTTGTAGGTATCAAAGGCTGGGGGTCTTCAAACTTTACTGATCGCACGCAGATCCTGCAGAGCCCACCTTAGAGAGTCTATGGATCTCAATTGGGCTCTGCAAGGGGTGTAACTAGAGATCAAAGGGGCCCCATACAAAATTTTGCTATGTGGCCCTGTGATTTCTAGCTACGCCCCTGCATAGCTCCCAACCGTCCGTCATTTGGAACCAAATTTCTGTCCCTCCTTCCTCCTCGGTTGTTCTTCTTTTTGGCCTGATGTACAGTAATATACCAAAATACTCCCCTTGCAGTGGGGTCGCCCCCCT